ATCGCTGTAAACGAAACTTTTACTAAAGTACAAGATTAAAATCAAGAAGCGCGAACAAGAGATTGATTGACAAATGAGGAAATTACCAGCGAATTAATGTACGCCTCCGACGACTGGCGGCCGAAACGAGCACATTAATATGCATAAAACACTAACATTTACCAGGGCTATAAAATTATTAATTAAAGTTAAAAATTTCGAAGCTTTTTTATAACAGTTGCAAAAAATATAAAAAACGTTATATTAATTTTATTTAATTATAAAAATAATTTAGTATGCTTGTATACCAAGGTGTTTGGTTCATTTTTATAGTCCTAATTGTTGAATGTCACTGTTTTTGATTGTTTAACTACTCTCTAGACTGATTTTGATAACATTCGGTATTTTCAATGCTAATATTTGCATTTATATGAGCTTGCTGTGATGTGGCGAAGGCGAAGAAAAAAAAACGCAATTAGTTGGCGTTTATAGAGGTGTCAAGTTTTATGATTAATAATATTTACATGGAGAACGACGCAGGCCGGTAATGAGAGGGCAGCTCCTGTCCGAAAACTGCGCGCAGACTCACCGAGACGTAATTATACGTTAACACCCTATCAGAAAACAAGACAAGCGTAATCCTATACCCAGATGACCATAACAGATCGTTTATGTTATAGCATGGTAAGTAAAGTAGAGTATCACCTTACGTTTCTTACTAAATATGAACATAACCTCGTTTGAAAGATGTCCAATGTGCTGCCTATATTTCCTGATGCTACGCAGTCAATTGGCCATTATGACCAATAACAATTATAATTTTCACGATTGCGTAAATGCGTTTTAAGTGACGAATCGTTTTTACGTTTATTGCCTCGCACGTTTTTCGGGGCTCATTTTATACGCTTTTGATAGCCGATAAAAATCGTAAATTTAAATGTGTAAAACGACGTGTCGCCGCCACACTTTGAGGCGCTGTGCGTTTTTTAATAAGCGATGCGACAAGCTGACAAGCAACAATAATAAAAACGGCGCTCGAATATAGGTTAATAAGGTGTTGCACGTTTGTGCGCCGTCGATAGCTAGCTGCGAATTTAATTGCTTAATTATTATCGGACGAAAATGCGCGAAATCTACGTGCTGCGTGTGCACAGCGATGGAAAGCGGTCATTAATTTATGAGGCATTAAAAAATGTCGTTTTAATTGGCATATGATATGGATATGATTAAATAAACATCACACCAACAGAACTTCAGAAAACATTCAACGGTTAAGTGCAATTCTAAAGTTCATCAAATCAACACTCACAATATTCGCGAATATTGTTTATAAATATTGCTCTTATATCTTCATTTGCGACTTTGTAATCGTAGGAACAATTTTGTTCATGTCAATGTTGTGTCGCGTGCCTCTTGGGGCTCGCGTCGGATGGCATCTGGCCAGCGTAAGTTTTCTGCGTAAAACTGCGGTTTGTCTGCGCACGAGCTTATGTTTCCTGCGTGCGCATCATTAACGTTGCGCACTATGATTTGACAAATTTCATTTTTACTCACCACCATTGTTCGCACCTCTCACTTTCGCTGCGGTGGTAATTCGTTATATTCTATGCGCTGCTTAACCACAGATGGCGATACCATTGGGTATAGTGGAAACTAACCTAAAAAATACACAACACTTGATTGTTTCACGTACTTTTGGCGGCTTATCGGTGCTCAAAAGAAATTTTACGAGTTCAGTAGTAACACGGATGCTTAAAAATTGATTGAAGGTGTATTCTTCACAAAAACAAAACAAAAACATCCACAACCGTCAGTTAGTCCAGAAGCTCTATTCAATTCCTTAAAGGACAATAAATTATTTATTTTACACTGCATCCCAATCCAAATAAAAAGATATTAATTTTTAAGAATTCGTGGATGCTCTATCGCTAAATTTGTTTGATTTGTTTGCGATATTTATTATGTGAACATATGGTATATTCTGCTTGACCACCGGAATACGAATATGTTAATCACGTTTCCAGTGCGCGCACACCCGCCGCTCGAAGGCAATAATACGGCTAATTATATTTATTAAACGAGCGTCGAAATCGTGCGTCGTCTGAATTTCACGTTGCAAAATTAAGCCGGGTTAGCTAATTGAAACTCACTGAGTAGGTACAAACATCCTTATGTCCTTGCTTACTTACCCTACATAAGCAACCCAAATAGCAGCTACCGCACATCAATCACTCTTATTGCTACAATAAAAGCGAAACAATTAGGCAACAAACAATTAAATTCGACTTTATTGTTGGCGTGTGCGGTGCGTGCTTTTAACTTGCGACATGTCAACCGGTAAAAAAATGTTGTTTTTGTTGCAATAACTTTTGGCGCATCGTTTATTTCGGGCTTTCGGACAAGAAACAGGTAGCAAGGTGTGCAAAAGTTTCATTTTCCGCTTAATTGCAACGCTTTCATTCATGAATCTCTTGAGTCTTGAATCTTTTAAAGTTTAAGTTTTTAAGTTTTAACGATTCGCGGGTGCATGCGCACGCACTGAAATTTAAGCGTATATCGACAGCAAGCAGCAGCGAGAGAAAAAAAAAACAAGTCGAAACCGAACCGGTGATTTTAATTAGCGGCCAAACATCAGCTTGCGACGGCTCGTGATCATGGCAGACGTGGCGGCGAACTGATTCGGTAAATCTTTATGCAAAAATTTAATTTGAGCGAAAGTAAGACTGGCTAAATGTGTAAACGCTAGTATCGTATGACATCTGTCAAAATTAAGTTAAACCACAAAAATTTTAAATTTAGAATTGAAAGCAAAACTTGTCCGCAAAAGAAACTGAAATGATTTTTGTTTAAAAAATTACCTTTTAAGCTTTTGTCATCAGGATGCCAGGTTATTAGTGTTCATTGCCTTCGGCGGTCTTGTTATTGTGAGTTGCGCATCCTGTGGATCCTGCGTGTCTATTGTATTGTACTTTCGCGGCTATTGTGTCTTCGTGTGACAAAAAAAACGCGCTCTAAGCAAACGCGAAATATAATAAAAAAGAACATTGGCATTATGTGCAAATTGCTTGCGGCACTTGCCGAGCCGAAACTTTCAATTTCCACTAACCCGTTCTTGCTTGTTTTTTGACACAAACGTGCATGAGTGTTAACTTTTTTTTTATATTATTTCGGTTTGTTTGAACGATTGCGCGGCATGCGGCGCGCGCGACAAGACCAGAAAAACCGCAAAAGTCAAGGAGTAAATTAATTCAGAGAAAAACGACAACTTTTCGTCATGCCAACTTATACAAAATTGTGAATATGTTTGAGGTTTGCCTGCATTATAAAAACTTTGTAAATGATTATTATCAACTGTAATGACAAAAAGCTCGGTACGCAACAGCTGAATTTTATACTCACACTCATTATGCGCAATTAGAAAATCCTTAACGCTTTGTTGAAACTTCGAACGTTTCAATTGAGCAAATTTAGCGGCGTGTGTCAGTGTGCCAGGTTTTGTAGTCCGCTTCGCGCTTGGTCAGTCAAGCTAGACGTCCCGCGCCCTCGGAACGCGGAAGATGCACACGCGGAAGGACGAAGCGAGCCATCCTGCCACCCCTAGGAAATTGTACGCGCCCATCCGTCATGCATGTGTGGCGACACATGTGCTGCATGCTTCTGGCACACGCACCTTATCACGGACGATTCATAACGACCGAGAATCGACGAAAATCGTTTCAACGAACAAATTTTAACGATTTTTACGGATTTTATTTACTTCACTCGTATTATTTTATAGTTGTCAGAATACTTACTTGATGCAAAACACACTAAAATTTTGTACACAATATTATCTTATCGTACTATAAAACTGTAGGTTTACCATACATTGGAGATATACTAAACTAGTAAATATATTGAATCCATACACCTAGCGCCCTCTTGTGGTCTAATAGCAGTATTATCTATCACGAACAATATATACCTATAGCAACGATATCTTGCACGTATCTTTTTGTTTTGGTTGGTTTGTTTTTACAAAGAGTTCAAGATATTATATTTAAGTTAAACTAAAAATAAAATAAAAGCAATCGTTAAAGGACCCGCATGGCTTCTGACGAGACGGTTTCATTATTGCTGCTTTTATTACGATTTCGTTGTGTTTGTCGATTTTCGTTTTTGGTTTAGTGTGTCTCTGTCTCCTTTTCTCTCTTGGCGCTTTACGCCGAAGGTTAAACAGAGCACAGAGTTAAACCTTGCCGATACATTTATTAAACATATTAAAATCATGAACATTATAAGGGTGGAAATTTATTATAGACCGATAAGCGTCCGAACAACAAAAAAGCGAACACGAAATCAAGGACGATGCGCACTCATGGTTTTAATTGTGTTAATTTTATTTCAGTTTGTTTTTAGTAGACAAAAGAAGAAACACTAAAAACATTAAATTAAATATGTACGTAATTAACAGCAGATGATTATATGCTGGTCTAAAATTTTGTTGTTTGCAAAATAAATAAACAAGTGATTCATGTTTCCAGCGGACCATTTCGCGGAAAGAAAGAAATATGAGAGAATATTAAACCGATTTATATGCATACAATCTCAATTCTTACGCAGTACGTTCGTGAATGTGTTTCGAGTAAGTTTTCGGCGGTTAGGTAAGTGACTAAGAGCTTTTAGATTTTAGATTCAATATTTAGTGTGACTAAAGGAAATTTGAATGATTAAACTTTAAACTGCATAAGATAACCAATAATGTATTACTTGAATAAAAACTCACCAAAAATAGATACTGCACTAGGTAATAGTTGGATGTACCCTTCCTTCAAATTTCAAACTTCAGTTCTGCGTTGTTTAGGAGATCAACACCTTTCCGTTTCTTTGCCGCCTTAAATAACGTGCACCCATGTGTTTGATATGTTGAGTTTCATACTAGTGTTTATGTAGTCAACCAATATGCTCAAATTGTATATGTTGGTTGCCTACGTTAATGCTCTATCTTTAAACTGTTTTGAAAATAATACTTCAGCATGAAATATTTTCAAATATATTATTTTATTACATTAGAATAGTTTTAAAACAATTTTCTAGTTTCGTTTTTTACTCAATAGAAATACACATTGTTTAAATCTATTTGTTTTCCTTATTAGCTAATATAGTACAAAAAATTTTACATTTTCGTTTCGTGTCGGCTGTGAAACAACTCAATTAAAAATGGCACATTTATATTATCATAATAGTGTGAGTAGTAGTAAGTTATGTTTTAAGCATTAATTAATTAATCATTTTAATAAACTATCATTAGGACAGAAATAATAATAATAAAAAACAAAAGTCAAGCTAGGCGCACCGACGCGCATAGATAAAGGCGACAATATGTGGCTCGAGCGGCCATTACATGTCCGCCCGCGTTTTGAGGAACACATTCGTTTTACATTGAACACAACAGGGTGTTTTGCCTTCCAAAGAATGACTCTACTCGCATTTATATGTACAAATTAATAATTAAATTATCGTTGTGACTGATTGCGGGTGCGGGTGAGACTGGTATCATTAGTGGTAAAACAAAATGGCGGATGCTGTATAAGGGTTGTTTCTTAGTGTTTCTTTGTGTTTGTGTACGTAAGGAGTGTTTGTGTAACTGTATGGTTCGGTGGGAAGAGGTGTCAAAAACTACGTGTTCTTAATGCATACTTGACACCGGCCAACGCGATCACGCACCGCCCCGCCTTAAGAGTTTGCCGTGAAGGCGCACGGAATTGCTCGCTTTCTTCAAGTGTGGCCAACCAGAAACTAAATTTGTTGGCGTAGTACTGACAGTGACCAGCGGCGCCATTACATTCAATAAACGGCGCTGTGCGGAAGTCCTCTAAACAAGAACCAGGCGATGACAGTGCCTGACCACCTCCTTCATTCCCACCAGCGGTGTGCTAAAATATAATAACAATTTTAGCAACATTGAATAAAATATTTATTAAATATTACTAACCATGATAAAACTGTAACCTATCCAGAGTGTGCTCCAACCAGCAGGGCAATCCGGTACGAAATTGGCCTGGCTGTGCACGGCAATCACGTTGGCTGGCACCTCACACACTACACACCTGGAGATGTACTCCTGGATAGCGGTACTCGAAACAGGCATCATTGGCAATGCGGCTGTGGTCGAAAGCCAGTAACTCCTGTCGTTGCGGCTTGCATAATTGCACACGTTGTTGTAATCGCAGAAAAGGAATGGCATAGTAGAGAACTTTTGCACACAAGAACCAGCAGCACCTAAATCTTGGGTGTGTGCACGTTCGTTGCCTTGGATGTATAGTAAAGAATACCCGGACCAGAGCATTGTTTGTCCTGCATCGCAGGTTGGCACCTGCTTGTCCTGGCTGTGCTTTACGAGCACGGTACCCGTAGCGTAATCTGATGTTTGTTGACACGGTAAACCAGGTTCACCCTTAGGTCCAGGAAAACCAGGTGAACCGGTCAAACCTACTTCGCCCACGTAACCGGTGTCACCTTTTTGACCAGCTATACCAACCAAACCAGGTAAACCAGGGCGCCCAGCTAATCCACGTTCGCCCTGAGGTCCGTCCAAGCCTGGTGGCCCAGGTAAACCAGGACTACCCGGTAAACCATCGCGGCCTTTGTCACCAGGATAACCCCGATCGCCCTTTGCACCTGGTAATGATGGTGGTGCAGGCTCACCTTTGTCACCTTTTGGACCCACGTATCCTACCTGACCTGGTAATCCATGCTCACCGGCCATACCTTTTATACCAGGTGGACCCGCAGGTCCAATTGGTCCTGGAGGGCCATCAAAACCTCGTTCGCCTTTAACACCCGGAAAACCTGCAGCTCCTTGAAGGCCTGTCATGCCCCGTTCACCTTTTTGGCCGGGAACACCGAATGCTCCAGGCGGGCCACGTTCACCCTTATCTCCCATTAATCCTGGTGGTCCGTCCATCCCATTACGGCCAGGAAAACCGGGTTCCCCTTTCCGGCCTGGAAGTCCTACCAGACCAGCATCGCCCTTTTCGCCTGGTGCTCCTGCACCCCCTGGTCGACCTGGTTGACCAGGTGCGCCAGCTAAACCTGCCAAACCCTTGTCACCTTTATCCCCTGGTGTTCCCGGAATTCCAGGTCGACCCATCTTTCCATTTAATCCAGGCAAACCTTTCTCTCCTTTCATAGTAAACCCAGGTGCTCCTGGTGCACCCGGCAAACCTGCATCTCCAGGTGCTCCTGGTCCGCCAGGAATGCCGGCATTACCTTTCGGTCCTGGGTATCCAAAGTCACCTTTTGGTCCAGGTGGGCCACTAACACCAACCAAACCCGTATTGCCTTTCTCACCTTCACGCCCGTAAAATCCACTCGGGCCGGGTTCACCTTTGTCGCCTTTAAATGACTTTACAGCTCCAGGCGGACCGCGTTCACCACGTTCACCAGTTGGGCCAGGCAAGCCAACAGGCCCAGGAGGTCCAGAAAATCCTCGTTCACCTTTAGGTCCATCGTAGCCATTTAGTCCAGGATTACCCTTTTCACCACTTTCGCCAGCAAAGCCCGGTGCACCAGGGAAGCCCACGTCTCCTTTTAATCCAGGCAATCCGTCTTTACCGTCCATTCCTGGGAAGCCAGGCGCACCGGAATGTCCAAGTGAGCCTTTGGGACCAGGTAATCCTGTCAAACCTATATCTCCTTTTTGGCCAGGTTGCCCTGGTAGCCCATCTAACCCAGGAGAACCTGGGAAGCCGCGTTCGCCCTTTATACCTGCCAATGACAAACCAGGAACACCAGCATCACCTTTAGGTCCAACAATCCCGTGTCTACCCGGTAATCCATCTGCGCCTCGCATACCAGGAAAACCGGGTTCTCCCTTTTGTCCTTTTTCTGCAGCAGTACCAGGATCACCTCGCGCACCAGGCAACCCATCCAAGCCGCGATCGCCCTTCAAACCAGGTGCACCTCGTGGTCCCGTGGGGCCCGGTGGCCCACCAGGTCCAATATCACCTTTTTCACCGGGCATTCCTACAAATCCTGGCGGACCGGGTTGTCCCTTAATTCCATATGGCCCAGGTAGCCCCATCTCTCCCTTTGTTCCGTTTAAACCTGGCATACCGGGAATACCAGGTGCACCAGGCATTCCGGCATTACCTTTAGGACCCGGATAACCCTTTGATCCCGGCGCACCCATAATTCCCGTCTCACCCTTCATTCCAGGCCATCCAGATAGACCGGGGCGACCCTCAGGACCCCTCAAACCTGGTGCTCCACGCATTCCATCAATTCCGGGTTTACCAGGTGCCCCTACATGTCCTGCCGGACCAAGTGGTCCAGCTTCACCTTTATCACCCTTCGGTCCTTGCCTTCCTGATAATCCAGGAGCACCAGAGTCGCCTTTTTCGCCAATCGGTCCTGGAATGCCGGGAGTACCATGCGGTCCAGCCTTACCAGGAAAACCATTTAAACCTTGTTCACCTTTTTGTCCCATAGGACCCGGAGGACCACGCGGACCAATTCCGGGAATGCCTTGCTCGCCCTTTTCTCCAGGACGACCTGGCAATCCAGCTAAGCCACGCTCTCCGTTTCGTCCTGGTTCACCCGGGAAGCCCATTTGACCAGCTCCACCTTTCTCACCCCTTGGACCAGGTAAACCTCTAGGACCAGTCGGGCCAGATGGACCAATGCTACCAGGATAGCCCCTGTCGCCTGGCGGACCTAAATCGCCCTTCTCGCCTGGATAACCGGGATTTCCAGATGGACCTGGTTCACCTTTTTCACCCGTAGCTCCTCTATCACCCTTGTATCCTTCCACAAATTGTTGCAAACAACGGCCATCCTCACCTTTAGTTCCCTTGCGTCCAGCTTCACCTTTAGAACCTTTATATCCGTTTAATCCAGGTCTGCCAGGCTCACCCTTTATGCTCAAGCCAGTTTCACCTTTCTGACCAGGGCGCCCAGGTACACCTGCTTTACCATCTTGCCCTGGGAATCCTGGCTCTCCTGCATCACCTTTAGGACCGTGTAATCCAGCAGGTCCCACAGGTCCCGTCAATCCGGGAAAACCTGGTTCACCTTTCGGTCCTTCAGGTCCAGTGAAACCGCGTTCACCTTTATCACCTTTGGGTGCTTTTATTAAATTGTCAGATATAAGACAATCTTCACCGCGTTGACCATCAGATCCAGGTGTTCCCGGTATTCCATCTATACCCTAATTGATATACACAAATAATTAGTATTGCAAAACGTTCCCAACAAATAACTGAATCATACCGGTGGGCCTGGCAAACCAGCTGCTCCAGGATTCCCGTCGGAACCACGCTCACCCGGAAAACCCATTGCACCTGTGGGTCCTCTGGTGCCTTGCATACCAGGTAAGCCGTCATGGCCACGTTCACCCTTCGCTCCTTTCATTCCTGGCAAACAATGATTGCATCTTCCACCAATTTCGCCCTTTTGTCCATGTGCACCGGGTGCGCCGTTATAACCGGGCCTACCAGCAACTCCCTTCTCTCCAGGAAATCCTCTTTCACCGGGGGCACCCGGAATTCCTTCCAAAGCGTCGCCTGGCACACCACGCGCACCAGGATAACCTCGTTCGCCCTTCAGACCCTTGTCACCGTCCCTTCCGGGAATACCATCATTACCTGGTGGACCCTGCAGAAGGATGTATTCTATTATAAAGCTCTCAACATCAAAAAGTGTTAATGAATATTAACAATGTAAACGTACCATTATCGATAAACCTTTTTCGCCTGGTATTCCTCTAGGACCTTGTGGACCCTGGGGTCCCATAAAACCAGGCGGACCAGCTGATCCTGGGAAACCCATTTGACCACCCTCACCTTTTTGTCCTTTATCACCTGGTAAGCCTTCGTGTCCAGGGGCTCCAGGAACACCAGGTCCGCCAGGAAGACCAACAGGCCCTCTCGCACCAGGAGCACCGTCAAATCCGTCCATGCCTTTAGGCCCAACAGGACCAGGATAACCACGAGGACCTTGCGGACCAGGTGGACCCGGCCTACCTGTGCCACCTCCAGGAGGACCTGGCGGACCGCGAATACCAGTTGGACCAGAGGGTCCATCTAATCCAGGCTCGCCTTTAAGACCAGGTCGACCAGGCAATCCAGGAATTCCATCGTAACCTCTATCACCCTTTTGTCCAGATGGGCCAGGAGGTCCAGAAAATCCATCGCGACCCTATAAAATACTCGATATATAATTAACAAATAATAGAGCACACATAAAACGTCTTACTCTCGGTCCAGGCGCTCCAGGTAAACCTTTTTCGCCCTTTCCACCATGGCTTCCAGGACCGCCAGCCAGTCCCTCAAAACCAGGTTCACCTTTCGGGCCAGGCTCCCCAGGGTAACCGCGATCACCCTTCATGCCACGTTCTCCCTTCGGGCCAATATGTTGTTCGCTACCACCAGTACTCGTTTGAATTGGAGAGTTGCCCTTTTCACCACGTTGCCCCTTGTTACCTTTATCACCTTTAGCCCCTTCATAGCCGATACCCATGTTACCTTTGCTACCACGATCTCCTTTTGGACCATAAGGACCCTTAAATATTCATATTAAAAATAATAGAAACCTAAGTTAATAATAATTACAGGCAATCCGCGTTCGCCCTTAGCACCCAACGGACCTCCCGGTCCCATTGGGCCTGGTGATCCTGTTAAACCTGGCACTCCGCTGCGTCCCGGCTCACCTTTTTGACCTTTTAAAGTAATTTCGCAATGGGCTGCCTCGCCTTTTAAGCCTTTTGTACCCATTGGCCCGGGCAGACCGCGAGGACCTGGATGACCAGGTTCTCCAGGTATACCGGCTGCACCCTAAAGTAATAATAATATTAAATTTAATAGCATCTAATAAATTAGTTTCTTATAAACATACGTCAGTTCCGTTACACCCGTCAGTGCCGGGCATACCAACAGGGCCTGGTGCACCGGACAGACCCGGGACACCAGCAATTCCAGTAAAGCCAGGAATACCAGTACGTCCACGTTCACCTTTGGGACCTCTCGGACCATATGGGCCAGAATCACCTTTATCACCTTGGGGTCCCATTATGCCTTCACCGCCAGGAAAGCCGCGAGCACCTTTCTCACCAGCAATACCAGGTGCGCCATCACGACCCTAAAATGGGCATATTCAAACTTTTCCATGCTATTTTAAGTGGAACATATTACCTGTGAACCTTTTTGTGCTAAACATTTTGGCATGCACTTTTCCGATTGATTACCACCACCAAGTAGGGTGACATTATATACCGCGAATTGACCACCGCGCATATGGCCCACACGGTCATGTCGGTAATTTCCACGCTGGTTCTGTTGACCGTATCCACCATATTGACCTCCGCCTTGACTTCCACCGTAGTAGGAAGAGGAATATCCGCTTTGTTGAGATGATCCATGTTCAGCACCTTGGTAAGAAGATCCATATCCGGCACCCTGTGAAGAAGATCCATATCCGGCACCCTGCGAAGAAGATCCATATCCCCCACTCTGAGAAGCAGATCCATATCCTCCGCTACGATCTGATGAAGCATAACCTCCTCCCTGTGATGTAGATCCATATCTTCTATCATCATCTGATGATCGTCCATATTCGTCATCATATCTGGCCCCATCTCTATCCTGATCTACAGAGGAATGACTGTCGACAGGGTACGAGGAGCCCGAACCGCCACCACGTGCCCCACCGCTATACTCTAAGCTATTGTCGTATTCGTTTTCATATTCCGGGCGACGATATAAGCCAGTTCGGTTCTGCGTTGGCGAGTTGAACGGCCATGTGTCCTAAACACGGAGCAATAATAATTCAACATAGGATCGAAAACAAATTGCCAAATCAAATTCAATCGAGGAATATTATGAAATCTGTTTTAATGATTTCAAAAAAGGGTTATCGCCATCCGAAGGTCTTACTGCGTGCATCATCTCACTCTGTCCGCTCTCGCGCGCGCTTCAAAATGGAGCATCCTGTTCTTGATAACGCGTTCACACTTGTCTTATCAGCGGCATACGCCGACGATCGTTTCGGCAAAAAATTAGTACAGTCCTACACACATGACACGTTTTTATCTTCGCGCGCTGAGGAAATCACCAACGCCGGAACGCAAAACGTGAGAACATTAAATAAATTTTGAAAGCAATAAATCATGGCTTTTGTTGGGCCAAACTACAAATTAGTTCAAAATGCACGTACAACATGCCAAACACGTGTTGACATTTCCAAAGAAGCTGATCGGCAAGTGATAACTAGAAGAACTACCCTTAGTATAGAGTGGCTGTGTAAACATCGGATCGGATATCAAAAAAAACCGCTCCGGAAGAGAACATTAGGGACACATTATGTAATGCTGTGTCAAAAAAGAGATTATGAATTATTAGGACATAATCACTACTTACCCCCGACGCTAATGCAGATATAGCAACAATGGACGTCACGAAACTGAAATTAATAACTTAATCAAAATCTTAAAATAGATTTCTCTTAAAATGCGTGAATTAATCATTTCACATTACATAATCTGAATTATTATGGTTAGTTTTTTTATATTTGATAACTAGAACTAATATAATTTAATGAGCAATAAAAAAATTTAAAGCTAACGCGGTTCAAATCGTTAAATTTTAAAAATAAGTTAAAAGAAGAATTATTAAACTCTTTGTATAACGTATTTTATAAATGTTGATACATTAATTATGAGAACATTCTGTATAAATCAAAATTTATTAAAATATCTTTTTTATTAACTCGATAAAAATGTCCACACGATTGGGGCATTTAAAAAAATAGGGGAGTAAAATTTATGACTTGACTTAATTTTCTAATCTGTTTCTTCTCATTCATAAATTCTTATTTTCCATGGCTGAATCTGAACGTGATTTATGATAGGCAGCTATTTTTCGGGGTAGTCGGAATTTTGAAAAAGTTCAAAAAGCTCCTAAAGTGACTTAAGTCGCGTGTACACTCACCGTAGCATTCCGTGGACGTGCATCGCTCCCTGCCGCTTCCCCGAGCGCTCGGGGCCCTCTTCGCACACACGCTCGCAGCAGCAGCAGCAAACTCGATCACCGTTCGCGGGCGAAACTCACTGGTTCTCGTCCTCGCCTGCGTGTTTCTCGGCTGAAAAGACTTGGCGCTCGCGGACCGTACGCACACGCGAGTCCCCGCGACTGAATGCCCTCGGCGCGCGGAGCAAAAGCTCGCGCGAGTTGCGCTCAACTCGGCGTAGGAAAACGACTTAAGCGGACTCCGAAAGACATCGCAGCGCTGCGTAGAACTTTCAAAACTTTTAATAACTTTTTTGTTACTACAGCTACTAAGATGAAATTTTACCGATGCACGCTTTATAACGTTATCAAATAGTTTGTAAAGTTTAGAGCTTAAAATATTAAGGGTTAGAAAGTTATTAAGGTTTTTTAATTGAGTGATAGTGGTGACAAGCGGTCAAGGTGGGGATGAAGATTCTGTGCGGCGATGGTGCACAAGCACGGCATTACCAGTATACCATGCCGCCGCGGACGGGATACTGCCGGACGGGCATCCTCGCCGCGGCGCTGATTTTCTGCGTGTGCGTCAGTTACGTCGAAGCAAGGGTAAGTACTTAAATTTTCAATTTTTCTAACTAATTTCTAACCACAAAAACTATGTCTATATAGTAGTTTGGTACCACCAAAAGAAAGAAAAATTAATTAATTTTTAGAATTGAAAAAGTTTCAAAACTTCTTCAGAAAGTCGTTAAGAAATTTATTTAAAAAACGGTAACACCTTGTATAATTTAAGCACTTCTTAACTTTGCGCAACACATAACTTCTAAAAACTTCCAAAATGTCAATCATTTTTTTATATTCATTGGTGATGATTAACGGGCATTATCTCTAATCTTAACTTAAGTAAAACGAAAATAAGAATTTAAATATAAAAGTGTTTGTAATTCACGCTAACGCAGTACGCGAGGGTCAATGCGACATAAATCTCTCGCCTGGTATATGATAAATAGCTTCGAAATTAATTCGGAATTCGAATGCGGCCTTATCATCGGCCGCGAATTGACCGATTTGTAAACAAAAATTAAAATTAAAATGACGCCTAAATTTTAAATTTAGTGAACCGTGCTTTGTGGCAGTCATTATGTCATAACTGTGAAACGTTCAACTTAATGTCTACACTGCAATCATTACAATTTTTGTACTAATTTCGGACTATAAAAGTTTTGTTTGTTTTTATAAAAAATGATACGTTCTGCACGCATCGGTTCGTGCTCGTATGATAGAGGTGAATGAATTTATTTATAGCCCTGGGTCGGTCGGGTGTCGGGTATAAATGCGCCTTTAATTTAATTACGTAATTATACGCTCCCCGAAATCTAAATATTTACTGCGGGCGTCTTCGTGCAGCATGCTTTAACTTTTGGATGCCCGACCCATCGATGGCTCAACCGTATATGACTTTATATTTGGCTTTCCTGCCCTCAGTCAAAAAATCAGCTTCCCAAAGTTCAAAATTAGTACATATTCAAAACACTTAGATTTTTATTAGGAAAGTAGTTTTATAGAAACAAGCAAAAGTCAAGTTTGATTTTAAATTTCTTAGTAATAATTATCGCTTTAAACGTTGAGCCTGTAATTATTGCAAGATAAATCATTAACATAATAATTTCCGTAAATTAATTTTACTTGTAGACTTACAAAAGTTTAACAAAATGTTTTTGTTTTTCTCTGAGTTTGCTGGTTTTTCTGACGTCGTAAAAGCAGCAATTTTAATTGAAAGCAATAACGAACGCTTTGCATTCAGTTTTCATGAAAGCTCGTGTCTTGTAACTTGTAACGAAGTGATGTTTATCGGCGAACTCAAGTTATGCGAACTTGTACATGATAGAAAACGCATTAATAAGTGCGGACAGTACTTGTTACGTCTTTGAACTGTAGTACTTACAATACTTACATACTTACCTACATAAAGAACTTGCGTATCGTATAACAAATAATGACCTGACGAGTTTGAGATGAACGAGCGGTGAAGAATGATCGAAAATGGCTCAAAAAAGCGTAGAAATGAGCGTTTAGCTACTAGTTTCCCATAATTAACATCTGGCTGTATTACATTCAACCAACACTAAAAAAATAAACTCATTAGCAAAGTGTTGTATACATAAAATATTGCAATAAGTGGCTAAAACTTAGTGAGCTATAGCTCAGGATGTAATATAATGAGCTAAGTACAAAAAATAAATTTTACTTCCGTGTAAAAAGCTCTAGTAACTCGCTTCAGAAGTAACTAATTAATTGGCTTGACTCGGTGGGTTGGGTACTCATTGATTAGTCAAAATTAGTTCGCCGCGCGCGTGATATTGAGTGACACGACATTGCATCGGATGCACGTCTACATCCAGATCCACCTTTGAGCCGTTTAGGATCGCACGCAAACTCGACATTCCCAGCCACGTGAATCCGCCATGCCGAGGAAGCGAGACGCGAAGACGTTTCAAGCCAAATAAACACGCGCGCGGCATTTAAAAATACGATCCACCTTGTTTTTTGGACGCGCGCAGGTTCCCGAAATCCAAGCCTTCAACCGAAACCGAAACTCCAACAACAGCCACGGCTCAGGCCGAAACTTTTCTTTTCGTTCGAACAGTGCATGTTGCATGAATATATTTATAGTTTCGGATGTGATGGGCGATAGATGCATGCGTTAACATCTCAACACTTGCAGCGGGATACGGGAGTCACGAACATGTTGAATCACAAATTTCTATCTGCTGAAACAATTTCTTCATGTTTTTTGTGGGTTTTGTTAATTTTGTTTATCTGAACACAAGGCGGAAATTGCAAATTCTTGAAGATCGTTTGCAAGTTGTACATTTGATGTGTGATAGTTAAATTTCGAGAAAAAAATGATTTGAATTGATTCTGTGATTTTGATTCTACGCGAGTGAAACTGGTTGGCAATGCTGGCATTCCGTCCGAACTTCGAACTTACACTGTCCACTCTCAAACACACAGACACTGGCAGCGTGTTTTCTGTAGATTCGTTCTTGCCTGCTAGGTTGAACCTGTGCCTGCAATTCTCGGGTTCTTTGGAGGTGATGCTGATGCATTATAGTGTTGCGAAATGAGTTGTCTCTGCGCATGTCTGCCTTCGAGTGTTCGACTGACTCAGCGGCGTGGAGCTGAACTTGTGCCAAAGAAGTCGCGAAACGTGCTTGCTTCTCACCAATGACTCGTCACTCTGGTTCGGAACTTTTTGCATAGAATAAACTACTTGATACGGATCATAAATACATTATGCGTTTTTATTTATAAACTTTTTGTATTTTGGTGGGCGGGTTAGTAACATAAACAACTCTATAAGACAGGAACGCAACTGAAACCACAATAGAGAAGATGCGTACAGAAACAAAGTTCAAACAGTTCAGGGGAGAAAATAAAAGTCACAACGACCAAATACCTAATTGTAGTAAATTACCAGCGTCCTATTTGTACTATTTTTGTTCTTTTGGACGAAAATAAAAGAAAGAATAGGAAGACAAGCACTCCCACTCTTTATGAGCAAGAACAAGTGTCACTAGTCACTAAAATTCGGTCAAACTGCATACAGACACAGACACCATGAATGAAAAACAAATCTTGTTATTTTGGGACAGAATACTTTTTCTAGAACAATTTTGATAAGACGTGTATTTTTAGTCATCAATCATTAACGCTTCATGTTATATGTTATGTTCTCGTATGCAGTGAGTGAGGCGTCCAATTTGTAACCGATATGAATGAAGTTTTAAACGAATTTTTAATGAATTAAGCAATATTGTCGCATGGTGGAAGAGTTGGACGAGCACACACTTATTTGGTGTCGACCGTAGGCGCCATAATCGCATCGTGCATGCGAATGCACTTTTCCCCCCGCATACAAAGCCCACAATATAAAATATGAAATCATTACTAATAACTCTTTAAATAAATAAATGCACACCATGTGTTTTTGTAAAGTATTAAACACCAACGAGCAGTAATTTTTGTTTTGCATTTGCGTGAATTCGAGCATAATGTATATAATGTAATAAATTAAAATTTGTTTTCGCGAATATGAAAATTGAAAATTGAAAAGCTAAATATAATTCTGTCATCATCGGCAGTGCATAATGCACGGTCGGAATATACTAATAAAAACCTATTATTAGGGCGGCAACAATCGGCTGTCGGCGTTGCGACGCGAACATGTCGAATGCATTGATGACTTGAGGCGGTTGGCATTTTCAGTTCGATTCCCATATTTCTATGAGCAAACTTAGCCACAAGTTCTAAGAGAGCCGCGTTTCTGTGATCCACCTACTACCTATTTGTACCACAGCGTCGATCATAAACGATCAAAGCTTATTATGTTTGACATTACAAAGTGTGTTTATAAAAATTATATTCGATAAATTCCTAGCGAGTATTTATGACCTTTACTTGTGTTTCTGAAATCAGTGCGTCTGTGAAGCTTCTGAATAAATACTACCATATTAATGTTACACGTTTAAGATAACTGAAAATTGATGATATCTCCTGAAAAACGTGTGTCTTGTTGGAATGTAATAGGTACTTGTGCATTTACATGAAATGCAAGGGAATGTGAATATGAACGAACGTCGATTCGGGGTCGTAAATGCCCGTTTTGGTTTAAATATTAATTGAGTAATTATCTGTCGTGGCGATCAGCGGTGATCGTGTGCGTGCGTGTGCGCGGCTTCTTTCATCCCGCGCTGCCATCTTGTTCGGTGCTTTAGACTTGACCGATGTCCACTATTGTCAGTTCTGCAGAATTATGCACATCTTCTCTCATTCATATTTACCCACATACAAAGTGATATAAAATAAACAAATAATAATCCGTGCAAAATACCGTTTCACCAATTTAAAGTGGTCTTGTATTCAAATTTGTTAAATTTTATGTTGGGATTTATTTTTATACTTTTGTAGATGCAAAATTTCGTAAAATGTGTATCGTAACGTGTATGCAAATTTGTCTTTTGGCAATGCTGCAATGTTGTCCTCGCTTGTACATATAGCGTTTTCTTTTGTCGTATCATCGCATGCCGAGGAGAAGGTACGAGAAATTACAATTTATCGTTGACAATATTTGGTGTATCGCGACCGTAATTACATTATGCATGCATTATTTATTTATCTCTTGATATCGGACCAGAATTCGACACCCAACTGGTGCTATAACCTATATTCACGCCCAACTCCATCCAAAGTATACGACTCGCACATTATTTTCACTCCTTTTATGGGTGTTTAATTTTTAGCAATAATAATGATATGCCTGCAAAATATTTAATAAATAAAATTATATTTTAAATTAAATGATAAAAATTAGGCCTTTTTTTAGATTTTTGTAACAAAAAAAGATATTTTTTTTAAATTTCAATTTTTGCACTTTGAACACTTGGTATATTATTAAATCATCATCAAGACCTACCCGAAAAGCAACAACCATTAAAAATATATCAAGATGATAAATAGCGATAAGATTTCGGGTTCCAGTTTTTTTCGTTTGCAAATAATTCGATATAAATAAACGACCAGAAGGTGAACTCTGTACGATTCAT